TACAAATGAAACAAATTGTTTTGAAGCTTATGTGAAGGATTTCTGTATTCCTTCCAAAGAGAGCGAACTCTATGCTGTGTTTCAAAACCAAATCCCAAAATAATGTAGGGGGAAGTTCACCCTCTGGAATTTCTATTGGCTCTTTACCTTGTAAAATTAAAATTCACCTGAAATGTATGATAAAAACAAATATACAACATACACATAACTGCAGACCACACTGTCATTTTTATGAAACATAGATGAAGTTTGTGAAAAATAAAGTACATTTCTATACCCTAGAGCCACAGTAAACACACAAAATCTGGAATTTTCTTTGCCTTGCCTGTTTGGTATCCTTTCACGATTTTAATGAAATAATTTATTTTGACATTAAAGTGCTTTAATAGATATGAATCTACTCTACATCTGATGAAAATAGCGTGACATCTTAAAATTAGTATGTTTTATACTATTCCACAAATACTCACAGTTGCTATGCTACTTTTATTTATTTATGTTCCTCTTAACATAAAGAGGAACTTGTTCTTGTAGGATCTTGTTGCTGTTGTGCAGCATTTTAGTGCATTTTTGTTTCTATGCTGACTATGTCTAGTCAGTATGCATAGTCTTACTATGTTTACTGATTATGACTATATTATAAAAGCGAACTATGTTATGAACTTTTTATTAAATTTATTTCTTATATAAATTAACTGTTGGTGTCCCTAATTTTTTTATGTGTTATACTAAATATGATTATGACATTTTTTTCTTTATATTTTGTGACATACTTTGAATCCATATTGCTCCCTCTATTATCATGAAGAGTTTATCTCAGTAGCAATTTAATCAAAGCTTCAGCCAGCCCAGAGTACTGATTAAAAAGTCAGCTCGTCTTAGTTGAAGTTTATTACTTCACCCTTTACTACAATTTTTCATTTCACCGCTGCAGATTTGACCTGAAATTGGTTCAAGTCCCCTGTCACTGTCTTTTCTTAAAGCCTCAAACAGAGTCAAAAGGAGGAGCAGGAGTTGCTTTCTCTGAAGACTACTTCAATTACACAATGCTGAAGGGTCATCATTGAGATTCCTCTCTATGAAAACTGAGAGTGATTGCCTCCTCCAGCTGTGAGGAGGGGAAGGATCAGGCAGCTTAAACACTTGTTGGAGGTGTTTATTTTCCAGGAAAACATGCCTTCCCTTCCTCCTCTGCTCTTTCTTTTACACATTTGACAGTTTCTGCATGCTTGGGCTTTGATTTCCTCAAACTGCTGGTTTCTTTATGCTGCAGTGACACTGTCCTTTGAGCTGAAACCTGACTGATAGTCGTCCCTAATGGATCACATTAGACTCACATTAGAAGGACTGGCCCGGGAGGTTAATTAAGAACGTGACGCCGAACGACTGTCTGTCTTTCTCTCCCTCGCTGTGTCAGAGACGGGGTTTTCACCATCACCAGATTTATTTCACAGCTCCAGGATTACTGCTCAACATCTTATTGAGGATGTTCGTCATTTTTATATCAGATCATCATCATAGTCTCTCTTTTTTATTATTATTGTTTTATTACTAAACTATGCTTGAAATAGAGTGAAAAGACCAGAGGAGCTGAATTTGACAAATGTTTTGAATGATGAATTTCTCCATCTCCATAAAATTATGCAAAGTCCTGCTTCAAATGCAAATACCCTCTATCCTCCGTGTGTTTTCGGAGTTCCTTGAAGCCCTGGTTTCAAACAGTTTACATGGAGAAGTTGAAAAGCTCCTTACTGTTTGCACATGTCGGGGTTTTGCATTGCAAACTGCTGGAATATAAGGACTGTCATGGAATTCTCTGCTGCTGCCAGGGCAACATTATATTTATATCTTTTAAGCAAAATGTAAGCTTAAGACATTTTTTTTCAGCATGAAAACTGAAAATTGACAAAAAAAAAAACAAAAAAGAAGAAAGTGTTTCAAAAAGGGATAAGAGAATTTCTTTATATTTTTATGGCATACAATAAATGTCAAATTTGGCTGAAAATAAAAAAAAAAATAACCCCAGTCCTGCAGAGTAACATGACACAGCCCCACTTGGTTAACAAAATATTATATAAGAATCACGAACCTTAATTCACCTACCTATTAATATGAGCTTAGCAATCAAATTGCAGAGAATGTGTCGGCAACCAAAATGTTTGCAGCTGTGAAGTCACTCACATGTTGACCTCATCTGAACAGACACATATCCTTATTATGTAACACAGCCACAGCCTGGATTCACCTCCTGCTTTCATCATCAACCACGAAAAAGAGGAAGAAAAAAAACGACAAACGTGCCAGATGTTTGTCGGATCCAAGCCCGCGGTCCCACTGCTCCAACTGTTGAGGTGAGAGCGGGTCGAGAGACCCTGAGACAGACGTGAAAACACACACAGAGGTTTTCTGTCTGATTCTCCATGAAAGTGCAGCTGCAGTCGGACTGTTTAATCCACCACTTCACCTGCTGTCAGGGCTCAGGGGATTGGGAATAACAAAAATGGGATTAAGGATTAATAGATTTTTATATTATCATATTTATCACCCCTGCCAACTCTCTGTCCTGCTGCTTCTCTGAACTCTTCATGTTTATTTTATAGGAACATGTCAAACTCTGCTTTTAATTATTATGAAGATGTCCACTCAGGTTGTAATCACTGGGAACAACAGCATGTTCTCTAGAAACAGACACTTTTCCTTTGACTTCAGTAAATGTCAATTTAAAAGTAGGGCTGAATAAATTAAATAATATCACAACATCATTGCTTTCAACACTCTCTGTTGTTTACAATGGAGTATTAAGGCCATGCTAAGAAAACAAAGCAAATAAAATTACTAGAATAAAGTCATAAAATTATAAAAAAACATAGTATTGCTGTTTAACAATCAGTAGCTCTAGCTCTGAAATGCTTTCAGAACAGAAATTAGAATAACACAAATTCATGTTCTTTAAAACCTCTAATCTTACTTTGTTAAAAGACAAAAGGAGTGTTTTAAATGATATTTGGGTGTTTACAGCCTCATCTGATGAAGTGCTGCTTAAAACTACAGCACTTAGCAAATTCAAACTTGGATTAAATTTTGAATACTAGATTTTCTGAGACACAATTCTCTGGTTTGTAGAAGCTTTTGTGAAAAGATGTGAATCTGGGTTCTTGTTCTTGTGAATCTTATTTTGCATGTGACATCACACCCACAGCTGTTTGATCAAAAGCTTAAATCAAATTGAAATTTGCTCAACCGGTAAAATGATGGAGGATGAAGTCAAAATGCATGGATATGCTAATATTAAATGACACAGTCAACATAAACCTAGATATAATCCCGCCTTAATCCCAATTCTGAAATGTGGCTTTCTAATTTAGCTGTCACCTTCCTGGGCTTCTGGATACTGTGTCTTCATAAATTCATGAAAATGTGATGCTCGCATCCGAGATGTCAGACTGAATTGAGCAGCTTAAGTTAAATCAAACGCGAATACATGCCCCTTTGACACCAAATTACACAACAGCACTTAGAAATGTAAGCATGTTCACCGGCTCTGAAGACGCAAATCTCCCTCTGCCTTTCACGCAGACACAAATCCAAGCTGCATGGATTTTTTTCTTTTGTTTTAAAGTGCAGGTGCATTGTTTCTTCTCTTGTGGTTGAGTTTTTTTTTTTTTTTTTTGCCCTGCACCCCACAATGTCTGCCAGCTTCACAATCAGCAAGTGCATCAATATTCCCTGCAGGCCTGACAGCTTTACTCCTTATTCGATACAGCCGCCTGCACTGATAAATCCAACCAGCCAAACAGAATGCACAGATTAAATACTGCAGAGTTGAAACAAAGTAAAAGAAATGACAATGAATTTAGAAAAAGAAAATCCTCCAAATACAAGGGGGCAGAGGTCACTGTGTTTATATGCATCTACAGTACTATAATGAAATTTAATAACTATGGAGTCTAAACTTTTTAATGAGACTTAATGTTATCTGATTTAACGCTCTTGAGCATTTTGACAGTCAATGGAAGTTAAAGTAAATTATAAGATGTGTTGCTTCCAAAACCGAGAAAGATAAAGGTGGCTTATGTGACATATAGCATATCAATGATCAGAGAAGTGACTCTGAAAATAAAATGTCAGTTTTTTTGCATTCATCACATGGTTCTTAAGCCTTCATAATCTATATTGAATTTGTATTTTTGTTTTTTATAGCTGCTGGTTGCTTGGATTCTCCAAACAATCAATAAAAAAATCCAAATTGCAAAATAAGATCAATGTTTACAACCACAATGTTTCATCTACTAAGAGTGTTTATGCACCATACTGCACTTTGAATTATTCATTCCTATTTTTATTGAGCGTCTTTGTGTCTTTATATTTAAAGTGCAGCACTGGAGAGCCATTACTGATTGAACAGTTTATCCTTTTTATAATTACAGAATAGCTTTTCTAATTTCTTATTTTGTTAATGGGAGTCTGTTAATTGCTAGGCTGACAGAGAATAAATATTAGATGTTCATATTATTTAATATTTTAATAGGATATATTTTAAAACGTTTGAGAATGGCTTTTTAAAATAAAAAAGACCTTTGGGTAGACTTTTGCTGCATTTCTATAAATAGAATGGTTTTTTAAAAATTTTTTTTCTATGTTTGTGAATTCACAACAAGCTCTTTGCTGTGCAGCTCGGCTCAGCCTTCAGTCGGCGCACCGCCTATGAAACATTGATGACTCGTTTCTCTACAAGACAATAATGAGTACTGCACAAAGCCAGGATCAAGCGAGGACCTGAATGATTTCAGACGACTTGAGCATGGAGAAGAGGAGAGGGTTTTTTTTTTTCTCTGTTTCACATGACTAAACAAACACCTCATGAATTAAACTGATTCTTTGTTTCAGGCAACCAAACTCCACAGGATGAAATCTAAAATTTAAATAAAGTCCAACTGATTTTTCAGTTGACACATAGCAGGAACAGTCCTGTCCTTGGAGAAAAAGTCAAAAGCGTTTACCTTCATGTGTCGTCGTCTCCGTCTGAAGCGCAGCAGCTCCTTGTGCTGGCGGGCGATAAAGTTCACGGCGGCGTATTCCAACAAGGCCGAAAAGACAAACAGCAGACAGACGGCCATCCAGATATCAATGGCTTTCACATAGGACACCTGCAGGCGGTCAAGAACAACAAAACAAAGAAAAAAAACATCAGATAGACTGAATTAGAATAAATAAACAGAGCCTTGTTTCTGGGTTTTTGTTTTGAGGCCCTGGCCTTTTTGGCTCTGCTTTTTATGGTTCACTATCTGTTTTTCATACATGAAATATCAGACTTGGTCAGACAGGAGCTAAACGAAGTCTGTCTGGCTCATTCTCTAGTTAATTTACTTCCTGTCCTGTCGTTTTACCTCTTTATCTCTACACTGATCACTTTGTGAAGTCCTGAGTCAAACACAAAGAAAACACAATCACCTGCATAAAATCTAATTAAATTATGACTTTGGATCTTTTGCACACACACAGTCTGGAAGTTCACCTTGTGACACTGATAGGAAAACATTTATCTTTGAACGGCTGAGGGACACCTCAGCTTGACAATCATTCAAGCATAAAGCAGCAACGTAAAGGGAAACAGGCCGTTCTCATCAGACTTACTCTCACTAACGTTAAAGACGTGTAAAAAAATCTAGATTATTACGTGCAGCACTATAATTTCACAATAAATGAAGAAAAAATTGTTTAGATGTCAATATACACATATGTGGACTTAAAAAAATTCAAACATTTTTTAAGTTCAAATAAAGGTGGATTCATTTTGCATTATTAGACTCACACAGTAGCTCCACATCCCCTTGGTCCTTGGTGAAAGGACTGATTGAAGCTTTTCCTACAGTGTTGAGAACATTGCTTCAGTCTGCAGTGATGAAGAAGGAGCTAAACCGAAAAGCAAATGTCTCTATTTACTGAGATCTTGGGATAGAGCCACTGCCTTTCTGCATCAAAAAGGAGCCAGCTAAGGTGGTCGAGTCATTTGATTCCTCTGGACATTCTTCTGTTTGGAGATTTTCCAGGCATGTCACACTGGGAAGAGAACCAGAGGATGTCTTTATACCCGACAGTCTGGTAGACTTGGTTCGACTGGTGACCCAAACTGCAATAATTGTTACATTTTCAGATGGTGTGGTTTGCTTTCACACTGCACTGTATCAAACGATCCAAACCCTTTGAGAAACCTGTTCCCTCCCTCGCCTGTGGTGGCGCTGCATGAAGAACAACCGAAGGAAACATCATAAATATCTCCAAAGAAGACGTGAGCACAACTTCCTTTTTCACGTAATGTAAACAAAAATGTTTTGCCGTCAGATTTGAGTGGTTGTAGGATTTCTCTTTTGTCTTTGGTTAAAAGAAAAAAAAAAAAACATGAGCCATTTTTTGCTGTAGCGTTAGAATCTCACATTTGTTTTAGTTGTATTTCCCCAGAATACCTTGCGCTATAGTTCACTTCTTGCTTTTGGAGTGGTTTCTGGTCCACTTGCCTCCAAATATATATTTGCACCGTGCCAAAATTCACTTTAATCGAACCAGAGTTGGGTTTTTTTGTCCACATCAGAGCTTGATTGCATGTTTGCACCTCCTCCAACGAACCGGACTTTCTAAACAAACAAACTAGAGTTCAGTTAAAGCAGACTAAACAGAGAATGGGCCCAGAAGCATTTATCTAGAACTTTGTGGGCAATCTCTAGATCTCTCATGAGAAACAGGATGGTGTTGCTGGGTAGAGAACTGTCTAGTTTCCCTCCTGGATTCGTCCCCTTCGTGACCTAATCTCAGATAAGCAGAACGCAGCAGGTGGATGGATGAACATCAGCACCATGTGCCTCTGCTGTTTTTGGTGAAATCCTTGAAAGAAAAAACTGCCCACCCTTCTTGTAAATGTTCTTTGCATCCACCTCCATTTCCCTCCAGCCTGACACGATGCAGTACGTCATGTGTAGGTGTGTTTGATAGCAGTCACACTGATTTGCCTGCGAGTGTGTGACTGAGCCGCATGTACACTCAGCTGTGGTGCATGATTATTACTATGACAGCTGAACTGCAGAGGAATCACGGTTCACTAGTTTGGTTTCCAGAGCGCACAGAGCTCCAAATGTAAACAAACTTAGAGTGAGTGTGTTTGACTTACAGCTTCCCTGGAATCAGACAGGCTCATATTTGCTCCACTTCCATTTGAAAAGACCGAGGCGCTTTAAAATTGTTTTTGTTTATTTGATGATTTCCTTTCGCCCTTCACTGTAACTTATCAAGTGCGTTTTCTGTCATTCAGTTAGTGCCACTCCATGCATCAGTAAGTGTCTGAACAGGTGTAGAAATTAGTCTGATTTCTCTGCACCTTGGGCAAAGAGGCTCTGGAGCCTGAACTCTGCGTGGTCATGGTCAGCACCGTGGTGATTCCCAGACCAACGCGGGCAGGCGCTGCGTCCATGTTGATCCAGAAGGAGACCCAGGACAGGATGACGATGAGCAGCGATGGGATGTACATCTGGATCAGGTAATAACCCATCTGACGCTCCAGGTGGAAACGAGCCTCGATGCAGGTGAATTTACCTGAAGCAGAAGAACAGAGATTATTAAATGTAGCCTTAAAGAATTGGGAGATTTGGAAGACATCTTGGTCTTCTAGCTGTTCATGCCAGGAGATAATTGATTTGTTTGAACATCTTCAATTTCTTATGGAGAGATTTTCTTTAACAAATTTCCAAGCAGAGAGCAGGTTACAGCTCAGAAGCAGTGTGTAGAAATCAGGACAGAACTAAGGAATATCCAGCTGGTCTCGACATGACCCAAGTGTATTCAACAACCAGTAATATGATAAACACTCTCTAATTTAAACCACCAGTTTTCCCTTTGTGATGCTGTAAACCAGTGGTGCCCAAAGTCGGTCCTCGAGGGCCGGCATCCTGCATGTTTTAGTTCTCTCCCTGGTTTATCGCACCTGGATCAAATGATGGCTCGTTAGAAGACCTAAGAGGAACACTGACAAGCTGAAAAGGTTGTTACTCCCACCAGGGCCCTCGAGGACCGACTTTGGGCCCTCGAGGACCGACTTTGGGCCCTCGAGGACCGACTTTGAGCACCCCTGCTGTAAACCTTCAGAGCAAAACTAGTGAGTAAAGTCAGAGACAGAGGTAATGTGCTGATAGAGATTGTACTCTAATCCCTCAATGTTCGGGTAAAAAACTGGTCAGAAACCAAACTGTGACTGAAATCAGCACATACCAAATGCAAATGTGATGATTTCACCATTTGATATTAAATAGTTCATTCAGATTAAATTAATTAATTTTGAATCCAGTGTATTGGCATGCTTTAATTATATAATACTATATATTTCATTTGATTGGGGTTATATAAGATGAGTGTATTATTTCAGCAGAAACACAAAAGGCGTTTTGTGTCTTTGTGCTGCAGAGTGCCACAGGCACTCCCAGGCCTCAGGCTGTGTGGGTTAAAGAAGTGATTGATGCTTGTGCTCGCAGCATGTTGTTGTCTCAGAGCTCGTGGCGAACAAAGTCAGGAATTTCAGCTTCACCTAATCCCTCCGTTTCTTCAGAAGCCTCAGAGTTTTGACTCAAAATACACCAACAGTGTCAAGATTCCTGTTCTCCACCTAAAGAACAAAGATTTGTGCAACAGATAGTGCAGCCCAAGGAGTTCTGATCTAAACAACACAAAGTCAGTATGGGATCACATGCAGACACAGGCTAACAGAAGAAACGTGAAACATTCCCCCAAGCAGCTGTAAAACGTAAAAAGTTTTTTGTTTTTTTCAGGTTACTGCTCTATGGCTGAATGTAACTGATTTTCTGAAGGTATCATATATGAAAACATTCAACTTCATTTGATCAACAATAAACCTCTTCTAGAGTCCAACTACCTCCACAAAAAGAAGACCAATTATTTACTTTTTGGCCTGCAGTTATATTAAAACAAATCAGTTAAGACAATAAGTAGCAACAGTTTTGCAGTGATAAGATTATTCATACATTACCCAGAAATATGTTGTACTCAATTTGGCATGGAATCCAAAACTCAAAGTCTAGTTGCAAGTCATTAAATCTACTGGAATGTCCTAATTGCTCCACATGACAATGCTAATTATTAGTAGCAGCACGAAATGACAAAGTATTTTTTTTTTAATTTCAAATATTCAAGAATTAGGAATACATGCCGTCTAGCTTTTCACAGTGCAATATGTGTGAGGCCAGTCCAATAGAAACCAAATGAATATCAGTTCAAATAAATATTTCATGTCTTTAACCTTCACTACATTTTAATCACCCAGCAGGCAGCCATGTTGGATTTTATAGATTGTAGCTGTTTCTGTTTTTGGACATTTAGGCTTCGATCTTTAAATCCAAGCTTCAGGGAATGTTCCAGCTGATTTTTCTTTCTTTTTTCTCTGTTTTAGAACTTTTGACTTAAAAACTATTAAATCAACTTAGCTTTAGAGTTGCATTTTGGTGTATGCTGATAGTAGCTACAGTATGCAGTCAACTAAAAATGCTGCGAACTCTAAAGTACTGAGGTACTACTCTCCACTTAGTCCTTTCATGTGATGAGCAAAAAATATGTCAAAGTTTTAAAAACATTTTCCAGTGTTAGGGAATTACTTATTTGATTAATTTGAGGACACAAAAAACTAAAACAGAAAGAACTAGAAAGAACTCCATCAGTTAAAAAGTAAAATGTTATACTTTTTAAAACCTTTAACACCTTATGATTTAAAGTAACTTGCAAAAATATAACAAGTTCACTTATTAAATGACCTTCCCATAAATACATTGTACTTAATAACTCATACAAGTACACATCCAACATATCCAGTAGGTTTGACTTTGTGGGGATGATGTACAATTTTGTATTTTGCATTTGTGTGTGTGTGTGTTTATGATGTAAACACACATGCCTTGTTGCTGAAATGTGCTATGCAAATAAACTTGATTGACTGATTGATTGATGTTTAAAAACATATGCTGCTTCCAAATAGCATTTTCCATCCAGACTTTAACATAATTTGTTTCCTGCAAACTAATTGTCCTAATTGTGTTTTAGTTTTAAATCACTGAACAGACGCTGTCAGTTGTAGACTTTTTATGAGAAAATAGAGGTTTCACAGACAGACAACGCACATAAAGAAGATCTGCAGTGATATTTTAATCGACCTACACCGCAGCAGGCTTATTTACATTGCAGTGCTGTTGCAGCGCTAAAGTCCCTCAGTCTTTCTCGGTAATGTAATGAGCAATGGCGAGCAAGATGGCTGACAATCTATTTAATCAAAGAGGATCAATGGAGGGTAGCCCCATCAGTTAAGAGTTAACCCTTGAAACCCGGAGAAGAAGGAAGAGGCAGAAGATTCAAGGGAAAACCAAAGAGAGAAAAGAGATGAGAGGAGCATGGAGGCATTAAAAGGCAGAAGGAGCGAGGGAAGAGGAAGGAGGAGGAGAGTTCATGAGGTTGATTTATAGCTGTGATACACTTGGGAGCTTTTAAGTGCTGTCCATATTTTCCATCTGATAAGAAGATTGAAATTATTCAGCCGAGCCCATATCTCACTGTTGGTGGGTCTGTGTGTGTCTACTGAACTTCACACTGCACTCTGAACATGTCTGTGCATATTTTAAAATCCATATTTATCGTCCACAGCAGCAGAGGTATAAACAGATTGTGTAAGGGCTGCTTTCTTTTTTGGAATGAGTTCAAAATCATTGTTGAGATAAAGTAGTATTTTATAAGACTAGACTGCAAAAAAAAAAAAAAAAAAAACTGTTGCACAATGAGAAAATACAAGAAAATCTAAAATCCACTCAGACTCTCAGCAGTCTATCTAATCAACTTGTTAAGCCTCCACCTCTGATGCTCATGAAGTCACTTTAACTTTGTATTATTACTTGAAGAGAAATATGTACAAGTTCATGCTAAAACATTATTACTCATAGGAAATGCAGGTCCTGATTGTGCTACCAAAAGCTAAATATTTTTCTAAGAAAGAAAGAATAAGTTGATATGACTATCTTATTAACATCCTGATTGTTTTTGTTTTTCATTCATAAAATTGTCCAGGTTATTTTAGAAGTAAAATGAGTTTCCCTTTTCCATTAATGCATCAAAAGCTAGAATAAAAACTACCATATAAAATAGGATTACTAGAACAAAAATCTAAATATTTTAATTTTTTAAGCACTTTAGGATAACATTATTCATTTTCTGTGTGATAAGATGATTTTTAAAATACTGTAAAATGTTGGGGGGGGACAAGTAAGGCAAGCACACCTCTTTTTAGGAATAAAAATGAATCGCAAGGTGCTTCAAACCCAAATAATATAAAAGACACAAAGATAAAATATATTAAAATGAAATAAAGAAAGATAGAGAAATTATAGAACAATCAGTTAAAATCCTAATGAACTTAAATTAAATTCCTGGCTTTAAGGACATGCAAAATAATAAAACTGCAACTTGTTTACCAGTAATATATTAAACGTGTCACTTTATATGTCATTTCATAATAACCCGGTTGGGTTAAATATGTGGGAAGCCACAAGATGAGCAGCTGAAGTCCAGCCCACCGAACTCGATTTGCTCTGAGTCCTGTCAGACTGGAAACTGAAGGCTCTCTTTAAGAGTTGTAGATAGTAATTACTTTGTATGCATCTAATGAAAAAGAGTAGGAGTAGAGTTGATTACTCAAAATAACTCAGGCTATATACAAAAGCTTTATTCAATCATTCACTTTTATATGGCTCTAAACCACCCTAAATCTTGTCAGCTTGTGCGAAAGCAGCACAATATGATTTGTCTCAGAAACACCTTACAGGAAAACATGTTGTTGATGTAGTTTGTACTTCAGCTCAAGAGGATGTCAAAGGAAATAGAAGTGATGCACAAGAAAATGGATTATGTCTCTAATCTGTTTAGGTGTTAACAACTTTTTTCACACCCCAAACATATCGTCAGCCACAGAACAAAAGCCCCCTGCAATGCAGCAGAAACCGTAATTAGTATTTCAAACAGGGATTTCTATATGTGTGTGTTGGGAATAATGGGGGAGATGTTATGGGAGGTGAGTGAGGGAATGGGAAGAAATAAAATGGAAACAGTCAGTGGCAGATTGAAGGAGAAAGATGGATACGGGGAAAAGACTCCCCCTTCCTCAGTCACAACAGACTGCAGCTAATAAATCTGAGGAAAACGACACCTTAATTCCCTCTTAATGCTTGATTAGGAAGCAGTGAGCTGAGTGCACAAACTCACACAAACATGTCGTCACACACAGTGAACGGCCACTGAGGAGCAGGCCTGGGCTGAGATGAGATGAGAAAAGCAGCAAAACGGGGGTAAACAGTTTTGGAGGAATTTATGTCAGTGAAGCAGCGAAAGGAAACAGAGGAACGGTTTCAGGTACGCAGGAAAATCAGACTCCGCTCTGTTGTGGTAAGAGCAAACAGCTCATGTCAACATATTACTTGATAAATGTGCTACCGACCAACCTTCTACTAATGAGCTCGCTCTTTCTGCCCTCTACTCTGTATATACTTTATCGAGTCACTGTTGTATTGAAGGAAAACACTACAAAATATTAACTGAAAGCTCTCTATTTACCCTTGTGGCTGTGCATAAAACTGCCTTTATGGGGACAAAAAGAAACACTTGTAACCTTAATGTTGTGAAGGAGACATTAAAACAACCTGCAGGTGCAGCCCAACAAATAATCCAAATCAATTTATTACACTTTGAATTGCCTTGTTGCTGAAAATGTGCTATGTAAATCAAATTACCTCACCTTACCTTACACAGAAAGTATGTGTATATATCTGTTAACTTTGATGATTATGTCTCACAGCTAATGAAAACAGAAAATTCAAAAGCTCTGACTGCAGTCACACCTTGTGAGTCTCTTCAATGGGGATTTCTTCATGATGCTCTCAAGTCTCACACTTTTTCCTTCCACTCACTTTTCAAGCAAGCTTCTTTCAAACAGGGGCTGGAGGGAGTCATTGAGACAAGTGTGAAGCTTCTCTATCAATGTATAACATAATATAACATTACGGTACAAAATAATCGTTTTCCTTTTTATTGATCTTCAGTTTTGTTTTTATGGACTGTAGGTTGTTACCATCAAAATTAACAGTAATATTTAAATGGAATATTTGTATCGCATAATAAATTAGTTTCACTTTTAGAACTGAATCACAGAAATTAGTTACCTATTATAATCTATTAAGATGCGCCTCCACAGGTGGTTCTGTTTGCATCTAATGCATCCAAGATGGAAATTTAAGTTTTAAATCAACCATTGTCTATTCATATTTTTATTCTTGGAATTTCAGAAAGCTTTTCTCAATATCTTTCAAGGATTTATGAGTGTTTTCCAAACAAAACAAACGCAAAGTCCAAGGATATAATCTGGATAAATAATGACCCAGAAACATTACAGTACTGCCTGCTGTTAGAAAACCAAAATGTTCAAAAGTACATTTTTAGATTTATTTGTGTGTTTTCTGATGTGTGTACATTTCTTTTTTTTTTTTTTTCAGGATATTCAAAATGCATTAAATTAAACAGTTCAGTGTGATGGGAGGTGAATCAATGACTGTCCCCTCTGAGCTTCATCCCTGATCAGGCCCGACCAATGAGCTCTCTGCTCAGTCTTTGTTCGGCTGCCAGCTTTAAAACATATTTATCTGTGAATCTGTTGGATTTTCTCCGGCGTGTCGGAGTCGTGGGCTGGACAGGACAGATGGTTTTCAGCCATCTCTCATGGAGAGAGAAACAGAGCGTGGCGGCAGCCCCCAGTCTGTCACCGTCACCGACTCCATACGCTTTTATTTGTCTCTGTTGCAGAATTTCACTGCACTTTTCTGTTGAGAAAATTTAAAATTTTGGTCTTGTTATTTTTCCTTTCTCTTTGCTTATTCGTTTTTAATCCATATCATCATTACATTTTTATTTTGTAAGTTATTTTCCAACATTAGCTGGAGAGGGGCACCAGAACCCCTCCCAACCCCACTAAGGGACAAGGGTGTAAAGAAAATGGATGGATGGACATTTTTTCCATTAATTTCCAATAAAATAAACAAATAAATAAAAAAGATCAATTCCAACACATTTGTGTATTTCATAAAGGAAAAGAGGAGGATGGAGAAACAGAAGCATCAGTAGTTTTGTGGCCCACTCACCTGTGTTGTAGTGCTTGGTGCAGTAGCGCAGGTCTTTCTCCTCTTTGAGTATAAACTGAGGTAACGTCAGACCGTCGGCCACCTGCACGGCTCCCTTCTCGTCCCACTCGAAGATCAGGTCATTCATAGTGTAGCCGACTGGAGAAGAGAGCAGTGGGTCAGAATGTCTGTGCCATTTGGTATTTTATCTTAGAAAGGGGAGGATGATGTTGTTTCTGCACCTTGTTGAGACACACAGAGGTTTACCTCCTGTAGTCATAATCAATATAAACAATGAAATCATGTTTTCTACCAACAGGACACTTCACACGTTTTTACCAAGTGTCCGACTCAGTCTGAAGAAGAAGAGCTTAAAGGTGACATATTGTCCTTCCTTGAACAGGTTAGGATATGACTATGTTGGGTACATTTTTTTTTTGCATGAAATCATCCTAGATAATGAGATGTTAGTCTGCTCAGTTCTGCTTATTTTCAGCTCTTTTCAGACTGAGCTGTTTTAGAGCCTCTATTCACTTTAAGTTCAAATAGGCTGCTGGTTACGCCCTCCCAATTCAATGTTTACACTCATGTGAAAATCGTTGCAAAAATTTTCAATTATACAACTGTACATTTTTCAATTGCAGAAATCGAGCCTCCTGCACAAACAACAATAATGTAACACGTGGTTGCTAAATGATAAGTCAACAAGCAAATACTTGTCGTTTCCAGCAGCTGACCAAATGTCCGCTTGGGTTATTAGTGTGTGTTCATTTTGTCTTTACAATCCGGTGTTTTTTGAAACGCCTCATTTTCCAGACACCAAAAATTCTGCTCAAATTGGATCATTCCTGCTATGCAGCCTTTTGACTACCTTTCAGGAAAAGTATTTTAGATGTGTCCCAGAGAGAAAAGGGCTCTGGGGGAGGTTTTGGCTGCAGACTCCGATTCCATGTTGTGGCTGATTAGTGTACATTCAATGAGCTCTCAGAGATATACTAACAGCCTCTCTTTGTCCTTTCTCTGATTTCCCTCAGCCTTTTGGAGAAGGGAGAGGCTGCAGAGAAATCTTCACCACTTCTCTCAACCTGTCATCCCAGTGATTGATTGACTGATCCGTCTGCTTCGCTGGGTGTGAATACTCACAGCTCTCTAGCTGCATGATGCAGGTCTGGACGTCCATGGGGAAGTTCTTCAGATCCATCGGACAGGCAAGGACCAGAGTTATTCTGCACACAGAAACAACCACATACAGCTTAAGTGAGACAAATTATCTGAAGAATTAGCTGCTTTCCTCATCCTTTCAGAAAAATACCAGCACAATAATTTAAGACAAAAAGTCATTGTTTCTTTTTTGCAGATATTTTGGGAGCAATTACACAGAGCTTAGTTTAAAAAACAATTTGAGGGATTAATAGAAATGAAATAATGTGGAAAAATGAACATTATAATTGCTGGTGGATTTACATAATACCACACATACATAAGTATGTAAATAAATGAATTGCATTCAGTAAAATGGATTATGTCAAGCTGTGAAAACAACAAAAATAGACTTATGGATATTTGTTGCAACATACAATCTACTGCTGGCCTGCACTGATGTGAAATATTGGGTTTATGTAGTTTCATGACCAAAACTCCTAAGTTCTGTTAGTTTTACAGGTTACTTTTACAGCACTTAACTGTATAGAAATACACTATATATTTAAAGAAAGCCCAGAAAAAAAACATGTAAGTTGTGGAAAAATCTCCAAAAGTAACTTGTCATTTTTAAAGTTTTCAAAAGCAACCTGGTTGTTTCCTAATCTAATTTTTAGGATTCATAAATTAACTTGGGGAAATCTTTAAATTGAAACAGTACAATAGGAAGTTGTAACCCTTTTAATTTCCACAGAGTAAACTTTTTAAAAAAAATTAAATTAATTCAGTCTTTTGGACAATAATGTGAACATGAGGTTTTGGAAAAGATTTTAAAAAAAGATAATCCGTAACAAGTACCGGTAAGTAAAACAAAACAAATATATATCAAATATAATATAGGTATATAAAATTTATGCTAAAATCACTTTATTTTTTGTGAGTTAACAGAAGGACATCAGATTATTCTTGATAATTGGGGAAAGAGTCTTGAAAACAAACATTCTTTATTATTTAATTATACTCGAAGATTATGTAATAACTCATCTTGATCCATTTTAAACTCAAATTTGAACTTTGTTCAACACCAAAGAAAATTTAGCTGAGAAAAAAAAACAAAACAAAAAAACACTCCAGGTCCACTTTCGTGTCTGCAGAGACTTAGCCATCATGACAATTAGGAGAAGCTGAGTTGACGCCTCGTTTTCTAGTCCTTCTGTTTCTCTCTGACCGGACACCCGCTGCGACAACATTCCCATCCCGCCCGGCTGATGTACCAGATAAACTCTGCCGCGTCTGCACATCCTTACAAATCCATGACAGGATGCTGAGTATGCTTTGCTCACATGATGTAGCCAGCGCAGATGTCCCACTTTCTCCAAAAGACGTTCACCTTAGTGGTTTCCTATCTGCTGATTACAACACATAAACGCCTAAAGTCAACGGAGTATGTGTCCTTGTTTTAGTCTGCAACTGCTGGTAATGCGATGGATCTCTGCTTGTGTGGGTCCTCTCAGTGCTACCATCAAAACTGTTGGAAAGTAGACGTATTGAGATGGATTTATTCGTGTTTTTATGCAGAAGTTGGCCTTGTTTGCAGTTAAAGAAGCACAATTAATAAAACTAACAATGTACACCTCTAATCAATAGTAATATAATCTATAGTTACATAAATACACATCATTTGTGAAGTAAATGAGTTATGGGATTTTCAAAACAAACAGTAGAATAACTCAGTGTTTAGACTTTAACTTTAATTGGTCACAACCTGTTAGAACACCTAACAGGTCAGCAGATGGAGTAAGAGAGGTGGCTGGTTGAGCAGGTTTTTACCGTGGAAAATAACTTCCTGCTTTCTCTGGAAGAGGTCGGTTTGTCATGGGGAAAAAATTACATTTTTGCACAAGTCAAACTGAAGGCAAACAGCTGACAGACAGTCAGGAAAAATGCACATTTATGCTACTTTATTTTCACGGCACGCCTCAGATTGGTTTTCCGCGTTTAAGGATGGAAAGCAGGTCTGATAGAGGAAGTGGTGTTTTCTTTCCTACATTACCGTCTGCTTTTTGAGAAAATATTGGGTAAACTCGGAGGCGTTTTAGTCCAAAATAGACAATCCATTTGATCTCAGAAGTCATACACCTGAACAATCATAAATTTTCGCTTTTGATACAGAGCTCGACTTGCACAAATTGAACAACATATCAGCTCAGCGGCTGCATCTAAACCTGGTCATCCAATCTCAGAGGGTTCACTTTCATCTCATCACAGAAAGCAGATTTCTGTGGAGAGATAAACATCAAAAACAGAGTAAACAACATTCACATCAGCCCCATTCTGCTGCATCCCCCAGAGATGGTTTAATATCCCTAGCTGCTTCGTCACCTCTGAGATGAAGCTGATCAACAGAGAGGCTCATTCTGACTATGTCAAGTTTAAAAATGAGAGGCGGCGAGGAGGAGCGCGAGATGTCTCTGAGCTCTGACGATATTTATAAAGGACCAATCTTCCTGTTGCTCCTGCTGGACACGAAGGTGAAAGCCGAGGTTGATAACGGATCAGAGGCACCGCTGGAATACTAACAGGACTGAGTAGATTACCACGGCTGCTGCTGCGCTTTTTCATCTGCCCCAAGCCGCTGCAGTAAAAGCAAGTCGGAGGAAACACCGACAGGCTGAAAGGTTTGTTGGCTGAAGGAGGCTGTAACTCTTCGAGGTTCAGACAGGAAGCCTCACGAAAAACGAGGAGAGAGGAAGAAACCAAATAAGGAAAAAAGTTCCAGTAAAACCATCTCTCCCAGCCAGGGGATCAAACGTTTTTTCAATCACTCCTGATTAAATTATCACAAGAGAATTAGATTTCTTGGTTTCCCTCAATGCTCCGTGTTCATTTAAAAAAAAAGAAAAAACAGAAGTTTCCAAACAACCTTAACCAATTTAACCTCCTAGTACAACAACAGATCTGATCATATATTTTTAGAAATATGATAACCATTCTAAACTTTCTGATAAATTTGCTGGATTTAAATTTTAAAAATTACAATCCAGTAAAAAAACAAGCAGATATGGGAATAAAACAGATTTTGGCAGGAAAAGTAGAAAATTGAACATTCGGAGCCAAAAAAACACAGGGAAAGAAAAGGTAAAACTAAACAGCAACGAACTAATTTTATAAACAAAGCTTCCAATTCAGATTAAAAACACCTTCAGGTGTTTTATGATGTTTTCCTGTTTCTGAACTCATTTTAAAACAAAGTGTGTAACTCTTATTCCTAGCATCTAAAACATATTTCAGAAGTCCATGTTTAAGAACCACTGATGATGCAGAATGCTTTTAAAACAGCATTTATAAATTAGGAGTCCCCATACTTCAGATTTTATGACTTTTACATTTTTAATGGGATATTTGTAACACAAAATATAGCTAGAATACCCCAAATGCATGCACAATTATCCTGTTATATTGCTATGGCAACTGGGTTGTAGTGCATACAGGAATCATAACTGATCAAATAAACAAAAACTGGTCGCTGTGTGTGACAAATGCCAAAATAATATTTTTTATTTCAGGTTAACATAAAACAGCCTCCTGATTTTGAGTAGTTTAAGCTGTGAGATGCATGCTACAGTTTGACTGTCGGAGATTCTGAAATAATGAATAAGAGCAAAAGAACAAACAAAAATAAGACCAAGATAACCTTGGAAATATGATGGAGAAATATTTCAGCATCAGCAGTCTATTAGATATTGCTGTAGAGAAACGCATAAGTCCTGGAGTGCAGCTTGATGCCTTTTATGACCTGATATAATTTCATTTATAAGTTCTGCAGATAATTACAGACTGAAAATGTCCTCGGCCAGCACAAAACAGTCCCACAATGCGATGAGCATTATGGAAGAATCAAGCCCGTGGAGGAATATGAAACCAAAAATGCAACGAATGGAATTGGGCTGCTAGCTTTGTACGCCGTTTTGGACAGGGCAGGGTGCAATTCAATGTAGCAGTGGGTTTCTGTATTTATTAGCTTGTTTTGTCAGAAAATATACAACTATCTGCTCAAGTCATAACTTCAGTTTTATTGGTTACGCTTGGAGTTTTTCAGTCTTGGTCAAATAAATTGAAATGTGGCAGAAACTTTATAATTTTGCTCTAAATGCTGAAATGAAACATTTTTAAGAGGGAAACATTTTTCTATCAGATTAAAGCTTATTAAATATTTCAATACAATGCTAAAATTCACATATAGCTGCTTTATGTTAAAACTTTCTTTATTATTTCTTCGCTGTTCAAGGACCACCTTGTTAAGAATATATAAAATTGTTGGGAATGAAAAGCACCTTCTTTAAATTTCACGTTTGCTGTCGTTAAGGCATGACATCACTGCCAAAATTAACTTTTGTGGTAGTCAGTGTTAAGATGTTTGCTGATCCATCATTGCTCAATTATCAAAAAATATGTAATTTTTTTCTGTACTGTGTTGTTCTATACTGTGTTGTAACAGGTGTAATGTATAAAGTTTCACACTAATCCAGTTTATAATGTATGAGGAATAATCTAAAGTAGGTTGTGTTTTTGACATGATATACCACAGAATTCAGAGTGTGGCCTAAGCCATGTGATCCAGAATCATACAGCAATTAAGCTGATGTAAAGTTTTTGACCGACGACCTTATGGTCTAGGAGTTATTCACAAAAACACATTGTCCTTCACAATAGCGCCTCCTAGGTCCTGGGCGGTGTGCATTTTTATACCTCAGTAATGGTTCGGTTTTCCTACCAGACCAGCTTTGTTTTATTTTTTTCCAGTGGCTCCTGGTTCTTCCACCCAGCATGTCGTAGCAGATAAGAATAATAGCAAACTGTGAAAAATCTGTACCATTACAGTCACGTTCTTTGCTCCACTGGGAACAGGTGAACAGTCATGTCTTGCATGGTCTTCACTCGCTCGGCAGGGTTAGAATCCCAATAAAAAGCCATGACATACATAAAAGGATGGGATTTAACGTCTGAAGCACCAGGCACGTCCTCCACTGACCGTATGCTGTAGAGCACGTTGCCGTTTTTAGAGATGCGTAGGAGCTTGTTGTCTGTAGTGACCTCGTGAAAGTTGGCCCCCTTCTCGTTGGCGAAGAACAAGTCAGGTTTCCAGATGGAGTCCAACATGGAGGGGTCGAGATCCAGCGAGTCGTCGGGATACTCGCTGTAAGCCAGCCTGGGGTCGTTCCACTGCTGCCGCAGGAAAATGTTCACTCTGTAGTCCTGCAAGCAGAAGGAAAATATGATGGATGTCAAATGGTTAAAGAGAGGGAGGAAAAAATGGTTTATGGGTAAGAAAAGCTGTAATTTATGAAAAACCGATGTGACATCCACACCCAAGGACAATTTAAAATAACTGCTCATGTTTGTGGATCTTGAAGGACTGGAGTTTCCTGACAAAACTGGCAGCAAAACATGAAGAATGTGCAAATTAGATCTGAAAGCAGTATGTTTTTGCTGTAGGGCTACAAGATTATCCACTTTGCTCTGATAATGGTTCTAATCCTAAAACGTTGATCCTTCCACCTTGAGTTTAGTCTGAGCTCTGGTTTGTGTTGTTTATCTTAAACTGGAAAAACGGCTATTCTGTCAAATGTTCTGTTTTTCAGTTTACATAAAATGTAATTTCATTCATCATTTGCATAAAGTATTTCTTAGCAAAGCTACTTTTAGTAACTTATTCACATCTAAAGCATAGTTGGAAATATCTTTGGAAGAATGTGGTGATTTCTCTTGTTATGCTATTTGTGAAGTTGCTGCATTTAAAAGAAGGATCTAGAAAACAATATCTGCAAGGATGCAAGAAAAATATCAGATGAAAGAAAGACAAAATGTGAACAACACGACATGATATCCTCCCCTCTGCTACAAGAGCAGCATTCTCAGAAGACATTGATTTGGCAGAAAAATTTAATTATGCCAAAAGTTACAAAGCGTACACCCTTGAAAAGAAGGTTGTAAATGCGTCCACAGGGAGATGTTCTCTATAAAACCAGAACAGGAGACGACGAGGGAAAAGGAGGGGAAAACAGTTTCTCATAGGTCATTGCACTGCTGACTCAAGATGCCACAGCTCCACATGGAATACGGCATTGACAGAAACCAAACGTTGGAGCGACAGAGTGATGGGCAGGATTTCACGCCTGGATGAAAAGGCACTCATGGGTGTTCATCCATATATGTTTGATATTTCACTGATCACAGAGGTGTATCACTTTGGGCTGCAACAGGAATAGTTTCCCAATGAAATACGTCATCACATGGCCATTTTGTAAGCTTCTTTCCCTTCTGATTGCTCCTTGATCTTAATTGACGAAACAAGAAATGAAATCCTGCAGAAGTTGTGCATCTCTGCTTTGGTTGGAAAGCAGTTATGGGAGGCTGAACCAAAAATAAGGCGGCTGACAGAAATAGAGGCATACACAGCAGACAAGCAGATGGATGTGAGTCCTGGCAGTTGAAGGTCACAGAGCTGCTGCTTCTTTAGTCTTCCAAACACAGACGAGGAGATAGACTGTGACAACACGTCGAGGGTTAGATGAATCAGAAAAAGAGGCTGGTTTCTTCTATGGTAGGACGATATATGTCAAGCAAAGTTTTAGATGATACATGTTTGTGTTACTGGAGGAGTCGACTTTAAAAGTTAGAAATTATGGATGAAAGCACCTCCGGCTATTTCAGCTTGCACACATTTTTTTTTTTTTTTATGTTGTGCAAAAACTTTGTACACTTTTGTTCCAATCAGACTGAACTTTCTGTAATCTTACAAAGGGCTTTTGGTCAGCAGATGATGAAGGTTCTGAACTGAAAATTAGCAGGAAGCAGCCAGAAACCAAAGAAAAAGTCTGAAAGAACTTAAAAATTGATGAAGATCAGTTTAAAATATCACAATGAGGAAACAATAAGGTTTTTACTCAAGCTATGTGTACTAATTTTACAATTAGCTGCCAGTATCCTATAACATTTGCTGCACTTCAGATCTATAAATAAAGAAACTGCAAAAATGTTTTAACAGAAAAGCTTGCAAATTAGTCTAATAAATATATTTTACATCAGAAACATTTGCCTTTATTGAAGTATGTTCAAGAAAAGTAGCATAGGCTGCATGATGTCCATTTTAATTTTACTTTATTACCAACATTAAAGAAGTGTTTCAACATTATAACACTTAGAGTATTGCTTAGTTTATAGCTGATGTCACAGATAATTTTTGAGGACATTAAACTATAAAAACTCTGTCAAGATGATCTTGAAATGCTCAGAATTTTGAGTTGAACTTGCTCCCCCCATCCTTTAGGTGGCAGTACGCCGAGTGGCCCAGTGGAGTCAAATAACTTAGGATGGTCCACTATGTAATGACCACAATGCATCAAAGGAGTACCTTTAGCCACTTTGTCATGGTTAGCTTTTTGCAAATTCAGATGCATTTGTTCCAGTTTCCTCGATTACAAGGATCTAGATGACATTAAACTATTTAGAGCTCCACACTGTGAAGTGGCAGAGACGTTTATTCTGGAGAATCCCAGGACAAACAAGCGGCTCTGTTCTGGAAATGCCTCTGGATCACCCAGAGGATCTGTGGTGGAGGGTGAGAAATGTTTGACTTCCCCCTCTGAATGGATCGATTTTTACATTTTCCTGCATGCAGAAGTTTTAACAGCATTAGGCCTTTGATCAATGCACCAGCTGTTACTTCATGTTATTTTTTATTACTCCAACATTCGATTAAAGATTTGTTTGGGGGCTTAGAGCCAGAGCTGGAATAGGATTGGACGTTTATAATGTCTGCAGTAAAGCACCTCTTTATCCTTTATGAGATCACTTCGGCTGCTGCCTCAGAAGACATACGGTAAAGGTTTTTAGTTTGTATTTTATTTCCTTTCTTTGTCTCTTTGTTTTGTATGTGTGCAGGCCAGTCGATCCAGCTATAGCATATTAACTGCAGTTCCCTCAGAGCTTTATTGTATAACCCTCCATTCTTCATTCTCTGTTTCACAATAAGAGTCCAGGTCTCTTCTGTGTGGAATTGGCATTCAGTTTGCCCCTCGATCTCTCTAATTGTCAATTATTCTAGGAATATGGAGCCTGGCTGCTCGGGCTGTCATTAAGCTGTGTGGCGTAGCAGAAAAAAGCCATCGCAGCGACTAGGTACGGCCACGCCAGCAGCCCCAGCAGGTGGCATTTCAAGAAGCAATCAGCCGCTGAGCTGAACATGTGTGCGCCGCAACAGCCTCGGCCAGGCTCCTTCTCTGTTTATCACTGTTTATTACACCAAATATCTCACATGAAACAAATGAGCTTGACCTTTTCTGAATGAGTCACCTTTTTTTCTGCTTGAGAAAGTGACAAATAACCTAAGACGCTGCAGAGATGAGGAGTGTGTGCTGATGGAGGGAAGAGCGAAGGAGAGCTGTGGGCTTATTCCAGCGTCATCAGTCGCTAAGATGCCTGCAGTTTGATTTCAGCTCAGGAAAAAAAATCTAAGAAGAAACGGCTGCAATAGAGTCACTCAAAACAATGAAAAAAATATTCTTAGTCTTCAAAGAAACTAGAGAAACACAGAACCTTGCTACAGAATTCAGAGGTCTTGAACTTTTTCACATTTTATGCTACAACCACAAAATTTTATTTGTTTTATTGGAATGTCACTGTATGTGTTCGATCAACAAAAAGGAGAAGGGAAGTCATAGCAGATACGATAAATCACAGAATCCTACTAAGTATTTTTGTCGAGTTTCTAGTGCAAATATCTTAGTACATTGAAATACACAGAACTAGCTTGAAAGAACAGCTTTTGCAGCATCAGTGACTAAGTGACTAAATTTGTAGATCCGACCTGCATTATTTTTCAGAACATAACTGTATCAAGTCTATGCTGGAAAAGAATACTGCTGTGCTTTTCCATACAATGAAATCTCTATTCTCACCCGAACACATTGCACATGTTCTGCTCTGTATGGAGCCTCATTGATCAGAGGCCGCAGATGGATGAACAGTAAACACGCTGGCCAGAAGTCAGGAAACGAATGGCGCTCCACTCCAAAATTCAAATGAGCAAAAAGTAATTTGCCATTCTAATGAGAGGAAAGTAATATTAGTGAAAAATGGTTGATTTCATTCTGGAGTCTGGCTTTCGACAGAGCTGATGACTCATTTGAGTAATCGGGTTATTAAAAATGTTATTGACACTGAAGCAGATCTGTATTAAACCCGTCCATCTAAGGATGTGACATAAGGCCACTGGACTGTTAAAATACATAGTAAAATTATCCCCCATTGGAATGCTGCGGCAGAGCCATTAGCAGAGGAATTGCTGTACTTACACAATACCAAACTCATTTCAGCATGCATTAAACTCAGGCAGTAAACCACGCATGAAGGACTACAATCCTCCTCTTCTTCTTTTCCGTGTGCTTCCTTTGACAACAACAACAACTGCAGAAAAATCTGCAGCCATATTCTAATTCCACGCCTGTCATAACATCCTGCCGGCTTCCTGGAGTCTGCTCAGGTAGGAGGAGGAGGATATGGAGCTTCGCACATTATGGTAGCACATCTGCTCGGCTACGACAGCGAGGCAAAAATATGCCTTTTTTTTTTCCTGTTTGGCCTCAGATGGAGCCACAGTTTGCCGGCAGCACAGCAGGATGTCAAGTAAATTTACAGAGGAATCCGGAGAGCAAACTTTTCTCTGGATCGTTATGGGATTTTAGTAAATGAGAAGCCTGATCATTCAGTAAACACTGGCACAGTTAACCTAGACTGACCTGAAGGTAATAATCTCTTAATGAAATCATCAGTTTAGGTTTAATGTTGGTGACAACATAGTTACCATCATCCAAGTTCATGATTTAATTAATATAATTGTATGACTTATAGTTTGTAGATTATTTGCAGCTTAAGGTGTTTTTCATGTTAAGATATTTTTTTTATATTCTCTAAAAAAAACGTATAAAATGTTCTTGTTTTTGCAGACATACAAGAAAAGAAAACATAGTATAGCTCAATTTCAATTTTGGGCTTAACATTTTATGATCGTTTGAATACATTTAATTACATTTTTTGTTTTATTTTTTTTATCAATTAATAATATCAAATAAAAATCTGTAAAGATTTATATATGGAAATATAGATATAAGTAACAAATAAAAACATATTTATTTCCACATAGTTCCTTGGAACAGTTATATGTTTTATTCCATGTTAAAATGTTATATTTGTAAATAATATAAGGCTGATTTTTAATAAAATGTGGTGGAAAGTTACTTTCTTTTTAGAAGGTGGATGGCATTTTAAAATATTTGCTCAGTAATAGCTTTAACATTATGGTTATGCTAAATGTATTTTAAAGTTTGGACTTCAAACACGTCTTATTTTTAATGCCACAGTAAATTAGTCCTAAAAATCACATTTTTGATTAATTCAAACAATTATTGGTTTAATATGAGCTTTGCATTCAATTTTGCTTCANCATTTTCATCATTTTTTGTTTTACTATGTCCGAGTTTTTTTTAATTTTTTTTTATTTTGGTAAATTAAACACACAGGGATGTTTGAAGTTCTTCACATAAAGAGACGTAACACACACATGACGTTTGAATGGGGAGAAGAAAGCAGAGAAATGAGAGAAGCAGAAGAGGTGGATGAAGAAGGATGAGGCAGAGTGAAGAAGCAGTGGGAGTGCTGAAGCAGAAACGAAGCCGTGTTGCGTCGGTACTTCAACAAGCACTGCGCCATTCTACTGAATCCATCGATCACTGTTCTTCACCGGCAGCACCGCCGTGTGTGTGTCCTTTATCTCTGAGAGGACCAACGTTAAGAGGACAGGTTTTACGCAGCAGTTTATACTTAAACTGGCCTTCAGCGTCAGGCCAAACTCAGGTTTAGCGTGGGAATTTAGAAAGATGATCAAAGGTGATATGTTATCATTTTAAAAGCCAGTCTTCAGTTTGCTTTGGATGTTTTTATCTGCTTAACTATTTGCCGAGACTAATGAGCTACGGTACATGTGTCATATCTTCTTGTCTCTCTTTACCTTTTATGTGTTTAGGGCTCTGATATATTTAAAATTTTCTAAAACACAGAAATTCAAGGATGGGTATTTAAGCAATTCAACTCACAAAAAGTGTTTTCTGAACAGGTGATAAGGGAAAGAGGCTGCGTTCCCAGTGGGTCAGTGGTTGACAGCCAGTCAGAAGAACTAACAAGCAAATTACTTACACATGGACAGGTATCAGATATTATCACTCAGTTATTTCTTCAAACTGAACAGTAGACTCAGATTACAATTGTTGCTTGTGATGTAGAATTATGACTATAAATAATTTCAGTGTTTAAAAGCCGTTTATAGATTTTTAACCTCATTCTTTAAAGATGCCTGCTAACTTTCAGTCTGAGAAAAGATCTGAAGGTACACTGAAAAGGACACCTGGTAAAAGTGCTACTGATCTCTGTATCAAAAGCATTTTTTCACATCGTCCTTTCGTTTGTGCCACCCTTCATCTCTGTTGCTCCAGGTTTTCTAGCAAAATCAAGTGACTACTCAAATGCAATATATAATAGTATTTACACATACTATTCCATGTGATATGCAATAAAACTCTGCTGTACAACAATATTTCTAGACACTTATTTAACTTACTTTTTTACCTTTGTTGCACCTGCCTCGTATTCATCTTTTTGACCAAGATCAGCAAAAGGCATGAGGACTTTGTTAATGACAGGAGAGAAAATGACAAAAGCCTTTGTAATTCCTAATCTTATTGTCAAACCAACTGTCAAGAAGAGTCGTGTTTTATGAATATGTGACCATTTGAATGCAGACTGTTATGAACCTAACTCAATATTTACACTATTACATTAAACATACCTGCATAGGAATGGGCCTTGTCTGCATAGAGCCTTGAGATGACATCTGTTGCAGTTTGGCACTTTGTGCATAAGCTAAATTAAATTGAATTAAATTTTAAAGAGATTCTTTGAATATTTCTGTGCATTTGCACATTGTTAATCCAACCTGACAGAGCTAGAACCCAAACATGTATGTGCACGAAGAAGTAGTTGTCACGACCTCAGAATCCCTGCACAGGGTTTATTCAGCTGAAAGATTTACTGCTTTCATCGGAAAAATGTAGAAATTTCTCAGGGTTCAGGCGGGTGACAGTGGCTTGTTTTTGCAAACCAACACACAGCATATCTGCTCTGAGCCTTGTTGCTCAGTGAACGTTGATGCTTCTGTTATATTTATACTAATGGATTTCCTGTGTAATGAACTGGTGTAAATTTTCCCTTCATTGCTTGTAAAAAGACACGCCAGCTCTGCAGTCGCTGTGTTGTTATGCTAATGGTGGCGGCAGTGATGCGCTCGTTCAAATGAAATGAAATGTGGGCCCAGTGAGGCGGGGAAACATCCAAACACCGAGAGGTCAGAAGGCTTTTAATTTTTCAAAATGTTGTAAAAATGCAACTTCGGATGCATTGAATATCAACACAGCCTTCATTTTAATTAACTTCATTTTTCAAGTGAAAATTACCAGAGCTGAGATGAGGCTCTGGTAAGATGTGACTGTCTCCATTACGGGCCTAAGCATCCAAATCCACACACAGACACCAGTGACAAGTTTGAAACTCTTTGCTTTAAGGCTGTGCTGCTAAGTGGAAGTCATAATAAATAAGCTTACCATTGTTGTTTCAGCAATGGAGCCAAAACTGTTGATAAAAATGTTGCAGGTTACGTTGACAGGGGGACCTGCAGAAATGACAGAGTGAAGAAGAAAATAAGAAGTGAGATTAGATGCAGGTTTATATGTATTGGTTGACTATTTTTATCGACACAAATGTTCATTTGGAGAATAAACATTGAAGAAGCCATTAAGACGGCTTTGCTTTGGTCTTTATTAGGTATCATTTAGACTGATGATCATAAGAAAACCAGGAGGTTCAGTTCAGCACAGGGCCACTGTTCATTCTTCTCCCACATTTTAATGTACTAAAAGTCCTGAGTTGATTTGTAACAATTTTAGAAAAGGCTTTAAAATCTGAAAAAGTTCAAGGAAAAATACCTAAATAATGACTCAGTCATGAAACATTTGATTGTTTTAAAGTGAAGCACAGCGCCTCAAAAAATGTACCAAAACTAAACAAGAGGTTAGAAGTAAGTGAAGATTGAAGTTCGACTCAAAACAGAAAAAGCAACACATTTCTTCAAGGTCGTAAAGCAAGAATATGTAACATTTTGCTGAGTATGTCTTCAAACAAATAAACATAATTCAATTAATCAGTTTCAATTGATTAGAAAAGTTTTAGAAAAGTTGATTGCAATATTTCCCAAACTTTAAAAAAAAATCCCACACATTTGTTACCTTGCTAAATTATTTGCATAAATAACCTCTGTTGCTGCAGTACTGAATGCATGCAAGCAGAGGAATAGTTCTGAGACCTTTCTGAAATGCAAATAGAGGTACATAGTAGTAAAGTATACCTAATAAAATGGCCTATAAGTGTACATGTGTATTTTATTAATTCATTTCATTTGGTTTATTTCTTTTAAGCACAGCAGATTTTATTCTCTTCGGTGCATGTTTGGCTTCTGGTGTGGAGGTGTGAAGATGTCTCTAAGAGAAATGTTCATGTGTGATCATAAACGGAGACAGCATCACTGATAAAAGCAGAGTTCGGTTGACAACAGGCTGCAGGAAGTAAACAAAGCTAAAGTAGCTGTCTGACATTATAAGAACAGACTCAAATAATGGCTGAATGAACAAGTAAAATCCTACAAACAAACCTGACAACGTCAAAGCATTTGCCCGCTGAGAGCCGGGTGACTTGTAAAACACTTCAGAACAAATAGGGAAACTAATGGCGACAAAATAAATTTCAAACAAAATACGAAACTACAATTGTTCAAATATAGTGTTGGTTCAAAACTAGTTCAGTTACTTTCTTCTCTCAGGGATCAAATGAGGCTCTGAAGGTAGTTTACAGATGAGTGAGTTACAGCGACGGTGAGCAGAAAAACAACACACTTCACTGAATCATTGGATTTCCAAGTTGAACAAACAAAAACAGGATTACCTGGTTGACCAGAGCTGCAGAGAGGAACATGGAGGTTGACTCAAAAGAAATATTACTGTTCAGTTTTAATACCAAGTTTAAGGTAGCAAAACTGATCACTCATCGTTTTAAAGATGAAAGCAATTAACAAACAGATTTTCATATGGCAGATTTCATATATCCATTTTCTTAAAGGGAATTATAAGTGTTTTTAGAGATAGCTAACATTTCTTTTAGCTATTCACGGGTGATTGTGGTCCTCAACCGCTGTGAATACTGATGTCCACTGCACAAACTTTACTGTTGTTATCAGCGAACACGATATAAAGAACCAGACTTCGGTTTTCAACCATCAGGGTTATAATCCATTCTCTGTCTCTTACCAAATGTGTTTGATTCCAGGCTTTCTGTCAGCAATCAACAAAACAAACATGGCATAGAGCGCTGGGTTATTGAATAATTAAAATTTAGAAATAAATCTACAAAGGTTTGTTTTTTCTTTTTTAAGGGTAGAATGTTTAATTTGTACCATTAACAGCCACAATTTTCTTCTCTTTTCCCTAAATGGGACTTGAATGTCTCTCTACTCTTGTATTCTGTGCCATTTCTTTCTACTTCCTAATCCATAGGCACTGGACTGACAGCGAGCTTCCCTACTAACTGTAGAAAAGACAACAAAATAAGATGCAAATACACTCAACATGACTGTAAATGTGTAAATTCATCCATGCAAAAATCTAAAATAAGGCAGTCTGTTGCAGTTAGTTACTTTCAAAGTGAAGGAATACACAGAAATCAGATTTAACAAATGGTCACAGCTTGCAACTGCAGTTCTAATGTGCACATCTGTTTCAAAGAGTTTTCCAGATTGCTTTAGTGGTTCCTGTAGTTTTAAACACTGATAATTTGGTGCCATTAAAGCTGTGTTAATTTTTTTCCTTAAAAATGCTGATTTGCTTTCTTGGAGCTGACAAAAACAATTCCAGCTGCCATCTGGTCGAAGAGGAGCTACATTGTTGCTGTGTGTGCTTTAGCACAAGGCAGCATCTCAGGCTGCTGAGAAGTATACCTCTGCATCTATGTGATATGGTTACATTGTTTCAGAAGTCTTTGGGTTTTACTCTATAACATGTCGGCATGTCTGAAAAATGACTTTGCTTCAACTGGCAATATGACCTAAATTGTTTGCATATAACCAGACTAAATGTGGATAAAATCCTGACCATGCACCATTCTCTTACAAGAAGATTTTTTAATCTATTGATGAGTAGTTTTTAAATCAAAAGTTATGTATAACAGTCTATTCAGCTGATATAAGGTTGTGAATAGCAAGGAGAGAAACAACTTTGCCAGCTTGTCTTCACATTGATGTGCTTTATATTTATTTTATACCTTGTGAGGTAAAAATGTGGCTTTGCATGACAAAATTAAATGTTTAATGAGTGAACAGGCTGCATCACTGTCAACCTCTGATACATGATGATGTAACTTAAGGTCAGACTATGCCTCCTGCAAACACACAGCCACACACACACTTACAAAACATGGACACAGAGTTTGTGTTTAACGTCCCTGACTCAACGCGATGTCTAATTCCACTTGCCGGGGGCTGGCTGCGAATGAAGGAAGGGGTCTGGATTATTTTGATGGCCAATTACTCTTCCTGTCACAGTCAGACGAACGCTCGAGGCCAAGGAGGAGAAATATCATGTCAGAGTCATTCATAGACACACACACACACACACACACAGATACACAGACAGAAACACAACCGTGGCTCAGGCATGGAGTAGGTTGTAGAAGTACGGTTAAAAGAGGAAATAAATCATTAAAGTTTGCCTGAGGCAGTCACTCTTCATGTGAGTTATATGTACAGCATCCAATTAGAAAGCAGATATTACTTACAGGATAGTGAGACGGTATGATGGTAAAGTTACACAGATGAATTGAAACAAGATGACATGAAATTCACAGAGTTCGTTTCAAGTTGTGCAACAGAAACTTGTTGAGCAAAATGTTTACACAACACAAATCTGACTGAATGTATTTAAAGTAAGAAGGTAGAAGATATGAGCAAAATGACTATTGTTTATTGAATTATCTTAAACTGCTCTTTATGTATTAGGAAGAAACCGAATTCAAAATGAACTATAGACTTGAATTGCACTTATTTTTTGAATTGCCTCAAAATTACATCTGTAAAGAATTTGTTTGAAACTGCAGTTATTATTAAGTAAATGTGGTTACACAAAAAAGATATTTTGAAACTGACTCAAGCATTAAGAACAGAAAACGTTTGGCTTGAAATTGACTGTGAACTAATTTAATTTGAAGAGTAAATGCATCTTTGCATTGCATTTTTGTACATTTTTTTTTCTACTTCTTTTTCCACAAATCCAAAATTACAACAATATCAACTGTGGGCTGCAGTTTATACAAACTTTGTTTCTGACAGAAAATCAACCCTTTGCCCTCCGATGAGATTTCAAACATCCTACAAGTTCGACCGACTGAAAGGAGAAACAGGCTGGGAGTAAACACACTTCAAGACAAATGGACTTCAGGTAAATAGCATCCCCTGCTGAGGCACTTGACTGTATCTGTCTGATGTATGAAGCCTGCACAAACCTGGAGAGTACACGCTCTGATATGTCTGAGGATTTATCCATAAAACCACCTGGTGTTACATTATCAGAGTGTTTTCTCTCAGAAGGGCTCTGCAGGCCTAACTCAAGTCCCTCGCACCCTGGCTTTGTTCAAAATCCCTCCATCAAGGTCCTCTCACTGTGTGGAGAGAGGGAGGTGAGCAGAGTGATGTCATAATTTGTCTTTCCTTGACATTTCTTGAAGTGGATGATGCAAAAAAAAAAAAAAAAAACTACAAGAGATGGGGGGAAGCTTAAAACCCACCTTCTTATTTTCTGCCACAACAGTTCATTTAATACCCATCAAGTAAAGGGCAGAAGGAGAGAGATTCACTCTGTTTTATAGCTTTTTCAATAAAACAGAAGATGGGATGCAGCAGAAAAAGACAGAAAGAGAAAGCAGATACAGCTCATTAACTGTCATGGAGGACAGGCTGGCAGTGAGTCACAGGCTTCTGTAGCTCTGCTCTTATGTTAGCCTCAGCGTGTATGAGCTCACAAACACGCCTGTGCTCCCATGATCCTTCATTACATAACGCCCGGCTTGCAGCTTGAATGAAACACAGATTTCATTCACTTGGATTTGCACATAAAGTTTATGTTTTTTCATATCTGTCACAAATGATAATGCAGAGAAAGCTTACTCGCTGAGTCTGATGCATTTTTGTGGGATAAAAATATTTGTGGTCTAAAAAAGTCTGATATTGTCATAACTCAGTGCTTTCTCGGTAATTTGCAACAACTTTCCTTGTAAATCTGCAAATTGTAAATTGTTTAGATTGCTTTTGTGTCGTAAAAGAAACCTACATTTTCGTACAGGGTCAAACAATTCATTAACCTCATATTAGAGTGAAAAAAACCAGAACACTCATTTTCTGAATACATCAGTGTAAAAACAGTTTTTACATTGTTTTCACTTCTATACTTAACCAACACTATTTTAAAGCATATAATTTGTGCAAATACGTTTAAATAGTATGTAATGTTTTAGTTCGATAGTGAAATATTTAGTTTGAAGCTAGATATTTAGTTAACCAGCTAAATATTGTTA